AGGCTTTTACTATCAACTTTCTAAGACAACTTACCGTCGCTTCTGTGACCCCGTAGCATCTTGGTAGAATCCCGGTCTGACGATTGGACCATTAGCTGAGTAGCAATATAGGACTGTAGAGATGAGTCACAAACCATATTAATGAATAAAACCAACAAATATAAAAAAAAAACAATTATAAATCCAATTTTTTTATAAATCGAAAAAGTCAATTCATGAATAAAATAAACAATTGCGGTATATTATGACGTCACATCAAAACATTTTATTGTCGCCAAAAGGGATCGAGTGACAGCATATCTAAATAAAATGTGCATGAGCAATCTTTGATACATGGCATATGTCAAAATACGATACACTGAAGTTCTACTTTGGGAGAGAAATTAAATTTCCACTGTTTTTGAGAGTCTTTCTCCGATGTAAACATACTGTGACGTCATAATGAAATGGGACAATTGACTGATGAATTAATTCATCTTTCAATTAATCAAATAATCAGTCCAATAATCAATGCAGTAACTTATGAATTAATCAATAAAAGAAGCGATAGATTATTTAACAAAGCAATATACGTTTAAAGCTTTTACGTGCAATGCATTGTAGGATATATTTGGGTCAAAACATGGCGGATTCTTTCGTTTTCTCAAGAAACTGATTCCACAATGCATTACAAACCATGTAGGGGACGTAAAAGCTTCAGAAGTCTATGCACTCCTCCGAGCCCATCGATCARTGATAACAATCAGCCGATTATGTGTCAGTCATGGCTAGCGTCGTATAGTCATATTGCATGGTTACAGCATTTACCTGAATTTGATCCATCACATCATCTCTCATTTCTTCCGCCATACGATAACTGATATTAACAAAGAACGTTCAATTAACTGTTATTCAACAAAAAGCTTCCATTTTTCCGTGCGTCTGAGCTATAATAGATACACAGATGAATTCAATGTTATGACAACTAAAAAGTACTCCACGAGACGAAGTCGAGTGACTTGAATAGGAAGTTTACATGATGGCGTAACTACTACCCTGGTTCCAGATGCTTGTCTTATATTCTTTTCATCTTTTGTTTACTATGTTTATGTTTCCGTTAATTGGTTTGTTTTACGCCAAGCCTCTGGTATCAAGCGTAGGCAATTTAGCTTTGAAGCTGTATTTCAGCGA